CATTAATTTAATTTGATACCCTTCATTATTAGTATTATAATAAAATAGTATTATTAATTGGATAATATTACCGTAATAATATCAGTTGGAGTAACTATTGTTATCATATTTATGTCACATATGGAGTTTATCTAAGTAGCTACCCAGAGCCTGCTCGACACTCCACGGGGGGATGGATGCAGCCATGTAAGTATGTACTCATTAGCATTTCATGTGTATTATAAGACCTTAATATTATGTAAAAATGTGTTTATTTCATAAAAATTAAGTGTTTGAAACTAATTTAAGTGATTTTTGCCTCATGTCAAGCCTTTTTTTTCTCAAATTTAAATTTATTCTTGTATAAATGGATGTTAATCCAATAAATATGTTGAATTAATCAATTATTTAACTTATCTTTATAAATTAATGGATTGTATTTGTGTTTTTATGCGTTTTCATTGCGTTTCCGAAACGTTTCCATTTTTGAGCTGACCGAAACGGTACTTCGAAACGAAATTTTGATCCTTATGCTACATACATTTTTTTGATTCCAAAGAAAGACAAGTTCATGAAAATCAGGGATTTTAGACCAATAAGCTTGATATCTAGTCTTTTTAATCTTAGGGATATTTTTTGTGAGTGTCAAGGTGCTTTTATTAAAGGTAGGCAAATTCTTGATGTTGCTTTATGGCTAATGAGGTGGTGGAGGAATATAGAGGCAAGACAAATGAAGGCTTTGTTTTTAAGATTGATTTTGAAACGGTTTATGATCATGTGGAGTGGGATTTTTTGAAGTTTGTCTTGGAAGTGAAAGGCTTTGAAAATCGCTCGAGGAAATGGATAATGGGTTGTCTGCAATCTATGAACTTCTTTGTTATGATGAATGGAAAACTAAGGGGTGTATTTAAGACTTATAAAGGATTGAGACTGGTTGATCCTTTAGCACACTTTCTCTTTACTTTAGTTGCATATGAGTTGAGTAGATTAGTGAAAAGGGCTGAAGGTTCTAATCTCGTGGAAGGATTTATTGTAGCGATGGATAAGGTTTATGTTTCACATTTGTAGATACTATATTTTTTTCTGTTGGGGATGAGGGAAAAATGCTAAATTTAAGAATATTGTAGATGTGTTTGGGATTATATCTGGCTTGAAGGAGAATATGGATTAAAGTTTGATTGTGGGTATAAATTCACACCATGATAAGATCAATAAAGTTGCAAAACTTTTGGGGGGCAAGGTAGGGAACTGCCTATTAATTGGTTGAGAATCAATTATCTTTATCTTTTTGCGATTCATTTGTGGAAAGGGTGGGAAAAAGACTTGATGGTTAACTTTAGTTCGGTCCGTTTTATCTAGTATTCCCATTTACTTTTTATGTTTGTTTAAGTTAATGACCAAGATTGTAATAAAAATTGAGAAAATGATGAGGAATTTCTTGTGGGAACGAGGTGGAGAGGGGAGAAATGATCACTTAATTAGTTGGAAAATGGTTTCTAGATTCTATAAAGGTAGTCTTTTGATTGAAAATTTAAAGGCAAGAAGTATTACTTAGTGGTTAAGTGGCTTTGAAGGTTTCTCTTAGAACATAGTTTTTTTGTGGCATTTAGTTATGTAGAGCAAATATGGATTTTTGACCAATGGATGAGACACTAACACGATTCAAAGGGAAAGCTACCGATGCCATTTCTATATCACAGATTGTTGAGGTTTTCCCAAAGTCTTCATTTGGTGGTGGGTAATAGAGAGAGAGTTCGTTTTTGGGAGGACATATGGTTAGGGGGGTTATCTTTTAAAAATGTGTTTTCATGTCTTTATCATTTATCATCCTTTCACAGGGCTTCTGTTGCTTATATGTTGAGATCTTATGATCAACTGAAGTCTTGGGACTTCGGTTTTCGTAGGAATTAGATGATAGGGATTCTATAGAGTTGGTGTCACTTCTTGCTATTCTTAACAATTCCCAGTCGAATGTTGATTTATGTGATTGAAGAAGATGGGTCCTTGACTCTTCAGGTGTTTTCTCTATCCAATTCTTCTTTGTTTTTTTGCTGGAAGAATCTTCTTATCATCTCTTTTTTCTTGCATTGATGATTTAGAATGCTAAAGTGCCTATTGAGGAACAAGTTTTTGCAAGAACTATTGCACATGGAAAGATTAATGCCAACGATATGCTTCAAAAAAGAAGACCAACTAGTTGTATATCCACTCGGTGGTTTGTGATGTGTAAGTCTGAAGTTGAAAGTATTGATCATTTGTTCATTCATTGTCCTTTGGCATTGGCTTTGTGATATAAGTTGTTTAGCTTGGCTGGGTTAATGTGGGTTCTTCCCAAGTTATCTACGTCATTTTTGGCTGAAGACTTGAATGGGTTTAAAAAACTTGTTAAAGGAGTGACGCTATGGAGATGTGCAATAATTCTTGCCACTTTTTGGGATATATGGAAAGAAAGGAATGCTAGAATTTTTGAAGATCAAAGTGAATTGTTTGATGGGCTATGGAACCGTATTAATTTCATCGCTTCATTTTGGGCTTTGACTTCCAAGGATTTTAAAGAGATTCTGCTTTTTGCTATCTTCGTGGGAGGGACGGAGAGCTTCATGTGATTTAGAGCTTTTGATGTTTTTCTTCTTTTTGTAATTACCTTTTCTTGGTTGATTTCTTATTCAACCTTTTTCATGTACTGTCTATATTTTTTAATATATATCAGTTATGTTTCCTATAAAAAAAAATACCAACAGGTTCGTGGAGAAAAAATCGAAGTCACAGAAGCCAAAAAATAGAACATCTGAAGGAAGGAAGCAACTTGGCAATGTGCGAGTGATTCAACGGAACCTTGTCTACATTGTTGGGTTACCTCTTAATTTAGCAGATGAAGATGTATGTAGTTTACTCTCCTCCTCTCCCCCCACCCCCACACAGACCTCCCGCCAAAAAAAAAAAAAAAGAAAAAATTCTCAAAAAACCCCTCTTTTCTGTCTATTTATCAATCTTTCTGTTTATCTACAGCTTCTCCAGCGAGATGAATATTTTGGTCAGTATGGAAAGGTGCTGAAGGTGTCTATATCTCGGACAGCAGCTGGTACCATTCAACAATGTGCAAACAATACTTGTAGTGTGTAAGTTCAAATGCTATCAATATCACTAATAATTACTCACCTCAATGGTTATGGTAGCATTTTTGAGTTAGCAATTTCTTTAGGCATCTTTATGCTTGGGCTGCTGAATTTCTTAGCATTTTATTGTTTCGGACATATCATGCTTATTTGGTTTTAGAGTTTATCATTTTATTTATTTAGTTATTTTTTTTGGGGGGGTGGGGGGTTTGTTACGTTCATTGTCGTAATTGATCTGCTGTTGGTCTCTTAGCTTGTTACGTAGTCTTGCTTAACCACTATTAATTTTTCCTGTTCTCGCACGTGTCTTTTGGCTTAGATATATTACTTATTCCAAAGAGAATGAAGCAGTTCGTTGTATTCAGTATGTACACGGATTTGTCCTGGAGGGCAGATCTTTGAGGTGGGCACACATTTGTATGAATGAATTACAATCTAATTTTTGCGACTTCCATATAATCTTTTGGAGTTTCATTTTACAGGGCTTGCTTTGGAACCACAAAATATTGTCATGCATGGCTTAGAAATGTGGTATGATCCTCAAATAACTGAGCAAGAGGGGATTGATTTATTGGTTATATAGATGTTTTTTTTAGAGAAATTGATTAAATGTAATAATTTTGATTATTGGAATTTTTTTTGTCCAGCCCTGCAGCAATTCTGATTGTTTATACTTGCATGACATTGGTTCTCAAGAGGATAGCTTTACTAAAGATGAAATAATATCAGCTTACACAAGGTAATTATGCATTGTAATGCAATTATCTTTTTTCGTTTCCTACGTATTGATTATGATGTGGCTCCTAAATGCTTCAATAATTTATGAACTTTTAGAAAGACTTGGATAATTGTTTTGTTTTGGTCTTATGAGAGTGAGAATGACTATGCTATTGAGTTTGAGTTATTTACCTAACCATAATAAATAATACGGGAGTCTACATTTGAAGTGAGGGATGAGAACTTTTTGATAACAAGAAGGCAAACTACTCTAATCGAAAAGTGAGTTGCTATTTTAGTTAGAGGATTGTACTATGATATGCGGTGCGCATTGGTCCCAGTTGGAATCACCAATTTTTCAAAGCTGATCAAAAGAGCTACAGAATTCAAAGAGATTGTTAAAGAAAGAAGTATACCATCGACCAATNAAGACTTGGATAATTGTTTTGTTTTGGTCTTATGAGAGTGAGAATGACTATGCTATTGAGTTTGAGTTATTTACCTGACCATAATAAATAATACGGGAGTCTACATTTGAAGTGAGGGATGAGAACTTTTTGATAACAAGAAGGCAAACTACTCTAATCGAAAAGTGAGTTGCTATTTTAGTTAGAGGATTGTACTATGATATGCGGTGCGCATTGGTCCCAGTTGGAATCACCAATTTTTTGAAGCTGATCAAAAGAGCTACAGAATTCAAAGAGATTGTTAAAGAAAGAAGTATACCATCGACCAGTCGAAATAAATGCTTGATTTTCAACAGCCTAAGGGATATAAAAATTAGACACCACCTTGGGGAGGGAATAATCATAGAAAGAATAGGCCTCGGAGGAGGAAGTTTTATTTGAATGTGTTTAAAAGAGAAAAATGGTTTGACATGATGATAGCGAATGGGACCTTAACGTGACTTGATTCTGATTATGATGTATGATGATGAAAGGAATTTATTGTCGGTCTTGGAACCGTTAGACATTTTTAGTATAAAAAGAATGAGCTTAGTCAATGAACCATAGCAAATAATAATAGGAAAAAAATATTTAAGTTTTTTTAAACTTCCTGGAAAAGAGTTGTAATTATAATTAAGTATTGGGCACAACATTTTCAAAACTTACTGAGAAACTTAGGCGCATACTGGTTTTGGGATGGTCATAGTATCGACCTTTTTATTGTCAATAGTGTATTCCCCCACTAATATAATGTTTTTATCATTGTTTTTGGTGGTGACTGTTGTTGTGATCCTGAAATACTACTTCTAGTGCTTTAATCCCTCGTATAACAAGAGTTGTCTACAGAGTTATCTACACNCTTAGGCGCATACTGGTTTTGGGATGGTCATAGTATCGACCTTTTTATTGTCAATAGTGTATTCCCCCACTAATATAATGTTTTTATCATTGTTTTTGGTGGTGACTGTTGTTCTGATCCTGAAATACTACTTCTAGTGCTTTAATCCCTCGTATAACAAGAGTTGTCTACAGAGTTATCTACCCACACTTGCTCTTTTGAGGGATGTGTTTTGGCAGCATGTTTTTGTTTATCTTCACTTCCCTTTACGAATATGGTTTTGAATGAGTTTTGGATAAAAGCAAAATGTAGTTATTTAGAAACCAAATCCTGGAAGCATAAGGCTATGAGCAATTCCTTTGAACTTCATCTATTCAGTTTTGTTCGGAAGAATGCTTTATTTCGGTTATTATTATTTCTTTTTTTTTTTGTGAACAGGAAACATTATGAAGGTTTAAAGTCTTGAATCTAAGTCACATAGAGCGGAGCGAGAGCGGGAGTGTGAGAGTGTAAAATTTTAAAAAAACTTGACAGCGAGAGCGTCATTGAGAGTGCCAAATTTATATATATAACATTGCGATATACACTATAAAAGAGGATGTGAAAATATTAAAAATGATAAATATGATTATGTAAAGTAATAAGGAAAATGGTAATGGACATTTTAGAACAAAACTCCCTTCCCACATCAGTGGAGTAACAAGAAGTTCAATGGGAAGACAACTTTAAAAATGACAGTCTACACTTTTGATCCCACATAGGTAGATTCACAAGCACTTCAAGGGAAAAGAGTTATAAAAGGACAGCTGTAGACATCTTTTCTCAAGTTATTGGATTCATTGGGCTGAAAGGCCTAGTAGGAGGTTGAAATCTCCTATTGGGTTTAAGGTCTACCTCATTATTTAGTTCAATTTTTTTGTATTTTGGTGCACGAATTCTATTATTTTGAATTTGTGGATTCAATTTTTTGAATCTGCGAATTTGTGATGAATCTGCTCTAAAATCACGGATTTGCGTTTGGAGCGCCACTTCGTTGACAGTAGGAGGCGAATTGTGTTTTCTAGTCTTGAATAGGGTCAAATGCCAATAGTCCTTTAATTTTTTGAATAAAAATGTTGTCCTTCTGCTACAGTTTAGTTAGGGTAATCACTTGTATGGATAGAGCATAAAAGAGCTGAGCCAAGGCGAACACCTACAATTTCAAGATTGGCTTGAGTGCATGGGATTTTCAGATGGTCGAATTCAAGCTCGTCTTCAATTTGTATTAAATAAGTCGAGTTTAGCTTGTAATTAGGTGCATGTGGATAAACCTTTTGTTTTTTTCTGGTCATCATAGCCATAGTTATTAGTATCGTACGATGCGCGATATGTATCGCACGATACGACGCGATACATATCGTACGATACGTCACGATACGCAGGTAAAATGATACGATACGTATTGGTTGATACAAACGATACGCGAAGTTTCTGTTTAATTTTTTTTTAATGCAACAAATCGTTCACAGTCTTAGAAAATAGAAAAAAAGGCCAAAAAAAAGGTAAGAGATGAAGATAAGAATTATCGGTCCACCAAACCCACAAATTAGTAAAAACACCCAAGTAAAAGTAAATCAAACAAATTTTTAAAATTGAAAAAAATAGCAACAGTGACCTATAAATTTTAGATGAAATCCTAGATTGAATTTTTACCCCAAACCTGTTAGTCTCACCATCTCTCTCCGTCTCACAATCTGCGACCATGAGCCACCAACTACCAGGTATCTTCTTCTTCTTCTCCGGCATTGGCATCGTCATCGCCTCTTCTCTCTGTCTCTGCTGTGTTCGTTCATGGGTCGCGAGAGTCATGTGTAGATATATATATATATATATATTTTTGTTATAAATTTGAAAAATTATATTTACTACCCCACTACATTATAATTTTTTACTTTTAAGTATATTTAAGTACCATTAATTTAATGTGATACCCTTCATTATTTTTTTAATATTAGTAAATTATATTGGTGACTTGAATAGTAGGTGGAATATTAATAAAATGTTATGTTTTTATGAGTTTATGATTTTTTTTTAAAAGCATATATATTTTAGTATTAATTATTTAAAATTACGCTGTATCTTACGATACACGATACGATACGATACACTATTTTTAAAAAACTATACATCTTCCGATACACGATTTTACGACTATGATCATAGCCACAAAATGAGAACATTTTACGATTTTAGTTTAAAAGTTCTAACATAGATTATTATTGTCACAATGTTACATCACTAGACATGTCAACGTAATTACCTGTTGTGCTGATTTTTTCATGAAGTTCAATTGTCTTTGATAAAGTTACATGGCTTTCATTATCTTTTCCCCATGAATGTCAAATTTTTGCTCATCCTTTGTACAAATATGATTAATTCTATTGGATGGGCACCTTAAGTTGCTCAATTTCTGCTTGATTCCAAAGCTACTGAAGATGGAAGCTGATGATCGGCTTGGATAACCTATTTAGTGAGCTCGAATCATTCCTCGATTGCTAAGAAGTACGGACACGGACACAGACACAGATATGAACACGGATACGACACGATACGGACACGTAGATACATTATTTTTCAAAAAAGCAGGTCACGGACACGTTGGAGACAAGTTGAATAAATATATGTATTTAATTTTTATATGATTAGTAGTCCATAAATTTGACCCAATACACATTTTTATACTTTTTTTGGCCCAAATAAATGGATAAATTTGGCCCAAATGTAGTCTAATTTTAATTCACTCGTTAATTTTATTGGACCAAAAAAAGACCCATAAAGCAGATCAATTATTAAGTTAGCGGCAATGTTGCCTGGATTATGGATCTCTTTGGTACGTGGTATAGGTACAAGCACATGGTACGACACTTTTTTATGTATGCGGTACGATAGAGGTAGGTTTAGCTGGTACGGTATTTTGAGTCGCAATTCGTTTTGTAATTCTATGTAAATTGTTTTTACTATTATACAACATTATATATTACAAAATATTTATAAATATTAAGTTAATTATCATTTATCTTATAGTTATGCTTGATTTTCTATTATCTAAAACAATATACAATTATAAATCTATATACATGTAATTATTTAATATGTATTTTATATTTGTGTTACATGTTTTAAAACGAATTAATTTAAGGTTAGTATTACAATTTGGGGTCGTCCATTTTGGTGATTTGGATCGCGAACTCACCTCGTTTGGGATCAATGTACCCAGATCGTAGGTCGTTAAGGGTTTAGTGAATTGTGGTAACCATGAGTTATCCCATCCAATGAAATGTATAAGTTTTAAGTTCTCATTTAATCTGGGCCACATTTTATCTTTTCAAGTTGATAAGGAGATAAGGCAAAAATCTGAGAAAACCAATAATTACATGCCACGTGGCAATGACTTGATTTAAACAACAGAATAATCTAGAAGGAAAAAAAAATATCTTTCACTTCCCCCCCCAAAAAAAAAAAAAGAAAAAGTAGATCTGCCCCCCAGCCATCTTTCTCTCTCTCTTTCTCTCTCAAACACACCGACACATTTGCAACATATCTCTCTCTCCTTTTCTCTTTTTTGTAAAGATGGCTGTCGATCGCCGGAAATGGCTGCTGATCGATGGACACCTTTGGTGTTTTATGTCTTGAGCTTCGTCTTTCTCGTCAACTTCTTCATTATCGTTGTTGCCAGTCTTCCTCGACCCCAGCTGCTGTGAACAATCGAAAATTGGTAAGTTGGAGAAAACGTATTCGGAATGTGTCCGATTATCAAAAAAATAAAAATAAAAATTTGGACATTGATTTTTGCGTATCTGACATGTGTCTGGGACGTGTCCGAGCATATCCGTGTCCCAAACGTGTGGGACACGGATACGTGAGGGCAAATAACGTGTCGGTGCTTCATAGTTCGATTGAGTCGAGCTTGAGATGCTCAGCTCTTTTTATAACCACATGCAGCTGGGACATAAGTTAGCTGTTTCGGCTACCCTAGATTTTCAAGGGTAGAAATTTTCAAAATATTTGAAGTATAAGCTTCTTTCACTAAAATTCTAATGACGAGAACATAAGCCACATTTGGACAAGTGTAAGATACTCTTTTATTTGAGTTGATATTTAAAAATAACTTCATATTTTGGATGCGTTTCTGACACTTCTTTGGAGGCATGTCCGATCCTTCTTTAAGTCGTGTCTATACTTAAAAAATAGATATGTGTCAAAANAGTGTAAGATACTCTTTTATTTGAGTTGATATTTAAAAATAACTTCATATTTTGGACGCGTTTCCGACACTTCTTTGGAGGCATGTCCGATCCTTCTTTAAGTCGTGTCTATACTTAAAAAATAGATATGTGTCAAAATTTAATAAATAAAGCTCCAAATGACAAATGACTATATTATAATTATGATAGAATACATATTTGTCTAGACCAATCATGTCCGTACTATATGTTGTAATAAAAGCAAAAATGCATAAANTGGAGGCATGTCCGATCCTTCTTTAAGTCGTGTCTATACTTAAAAAATAGATATGTGTCAACATTTAATAAATAAAGCTCCAAATGACAAATGACTATATTATAATTATGATAGAATACATATTTGTCTAGACCAATCATGTCAGTACTATATGTTGTAATAAAAGCANATTATAATTATGATAGAATACATATTTGTCTAGACCAATCATGTCCGTACTATATGTTGTAATAAAAGCAAAAATGCATAAAAGTTTTACTAAAGAGAATTTGAGAAGATAATAGCAATCATTATAATTATGTATGTTTGCTATACTGTGTCTATAACAATTCGATAATTAATGACTACTGCGATCCATTGGTCTAAAAATTCAGATTGGAGGACTACACGTATGACATACTTCTCATAAACTACTGATTGTCTTATTTTTACGCTACTGTAGTTATTTATTTTGGAGTCGCATGCTCAAAGAATTTAGGAAATATGAAGAGATTCACAGGCTCTGAGACCATCTATTGTAGAACAATTCAGTAGATGTTTCATAATTTTTTTGAACTTTTCAAATTTTTGAAGGTAGTTGAAATTGTTGAAGATGTGGAAGGGTGAAGATTTTTATTTGCATTTGGAATGGCTTTTGTGCAGTTGAAGTCTTGACTGTCTTTACCCAGTGTGCAACTCTTTTATGTTTAGGGATCTGTCGGTATCATAAATTCGTAATGATTAGATGTTTTTTTTTTTTTTGGGGAGAGAACGAGAAATACTTTGGTTATCTTTTTCTGTTGATTGGATATTCTTTGGCAGCATTCTGGTTAGCTAATTAAATCGTGTGCTGATTTTAAGGAGTAGAGTTCAACAAATTGCTGGTGCTACAAATAATATGCAACAGCGGTCAGGGAATGTGTTACCACCACCAGCAGATGAGTACTGCAATAACGGCTTTGTTTCCTCCAGAAAACCTATTAATAAGAGTGGGGTAAATGTAAGAATTTCTGTATTAATCTTTTTGATTTTGATCTTTTTCCCTCCCCCACGATCAATAAACAATGTGCCTTAAGGCTCTTAACCTGTGGTTTATTGGAAATAATGCTTTCACATGGGTACAGTGTGTATTAAATTTCATCATATAAGGTATCACGAGCATTCTTGACATTCAATTACTGTGTTGATATCTGGATGAAAAACATAATGCCACTGATATTTTACTTCTGGTTTTGTGATGAATATTATGTGTGTTGTAAAGTTTGATTGCTGCAATGGATTGACATTCATTCTGATAAGATCTTGGTCACATCTCTCTGGCAGAATTCTGCGAACAATGTCCGAGATTCTCCGCCTAATAGTAGCTCTGGTGGACCAGTTGCTCTTCCAGCAGCAGCCTCATGGTATGCCATTGACCTACTGGAAGTCTCTTTTGGTTTAAAATGGATAATTGTCTTAATCATTTTGACATGTCAACCAGGGGAACACGTGCCTTAAACAACCAGCTACCACTTGTAAGTTTGGGGAATTCAAATGGACCTCTTAAGCAGAAACCTGATGCGTGCAATGGCTCATTAGCGTTTTCAATGGGAATTGCAAGCCCAACTCAGGTTTCTATATTGCATGCTGATGTCGGAAAGAAGCTTATTCCTAATGGAGAAAGTCATACGATACAACAAAATTTTAAAGCTAAGGCATTGGAACCTATGAAACAGGATATGGGTTCAGATCGTCTAGCAACTGTATCTGAAACTCCTGCCACACCAGGATATGCTGCTAGTTCAACTATGAACAGCCAGTTACATTATGCACCTGCATGCAAGGATGAAGATAAATGTAGCGGTATGCCACCCAATGTTACAAATTCTATTGACCTATCTGGGCAGTCATGTGGTTATGGCGGTCCAGGAAAAGATGTAGACGTTGCAGACAAGAAGATTCAGAAACTATGCTCTTATATGTCGTCATTGAGCATTGATAGATCTCAAGGATCACCACAAAGTTACGTGGAGCAACTTAGAGAACCTTTGACTTTTGCCGCGGGGAATGCGGAGACATCCACTAAGGATAGTTCTGTTGCTAGAGAACTATCTGATTTTAGATCTCATTCAGAAACACACGTGGCACAGGCTGCATTGGGTGAAGTAGATGATGATTCACTATTTTTTGATGACCGGAGACTTAAGGATCCAGAAGTTGTCACCAGTACAAGCTACTTACCTAATTTATCTCACTCTTCATATCTTTTAAATCAAGTTAAGGGTTATTATCCTCAGTATAATGAGGATTACAGTAAACTTAATGTCAATGTAGATCCCCTTATCGTAGATAAGAAATTCGACATCAGTTCACCTCCGCAGACATCTAGTATTCAAGTTATTTCTAATGGGTACCCTGAGAATCTAGTCAGCAGTTCTGCTCATTTGGACAACACCTTTGACAATTCCTATATGCTTCTAGATGAAGAGAAAAGGAAGCACATCGGAAGATTAGACGGTGAAGTAACCAATGTTGACAGCAACGCTGCTCTAGATACGGGAGAGAGCAGCATAATATCTAATATTTTGTCAATGGACTTTGACTCGTGGGACGATTCATTAACTTCACCTCAGAATTTGGCTAGGTTATTGGGTGAAACTGATAAACAGCAGGGATCTCTTAGAGTATCAAGTTCTTGGAAAGTTCAAAGTAGCAATCAATCCAGGTTTTCTTTTGCACGAGAAGAGGATTCTATAAATCAACATGTAGAATCATCTTTGAGTTATATTGGGCAACCTCTGAAGAATCGCACNCTTAGAGTATCAAGTTCTTGGAAAGTTCAAAGTAGCAATCAATCCAGGTTTTCTTTCGCACGAGAAGAGGATTCTACAAATCAAAATGTAGAATCATCTTTGAGTTATATTGGGCAACCTCTGAAGAATCGCGCTTTCAGCCATGATTTTGTTGATAACAGAGATTTTCATCTTGATAAGCTTGGTAATTGCAATGGTTTCTCTTCTGTTAATTGTGAGGAATTTGATAATTTTGCCAGCAGTCAATCTCATCTCTCTTCTGGCAAGCCTTCAGGTGAATTATGATTGGTTACATTTAGTGCTTTATTTTTCTTAATTTCTGTTGTCTTCTTTNATCTCATCTCTCTTCTGGCAAGCCTTCAGGTGAATTATGATTGGTTACATTTAGTGAATTTCTGTTGTCTTCTATNGCCTTCAGGTGAATTATGATTGGTTACATTTAGTGCTTTATTTTTCTTAATTTCTGTTGTCTTCTTTCTTTCAATACATGACATGACACTGTAATGGTCTCTAAAAGAATTATTATCATGCTGCTTTGATATAATATCATATGTCATAATATTTTGCAATTTATACCCTTCATGATCTGACTAGGATCATCGACATCATTTTTTTTCCCCATATTCTCTGTCATTCGTTTGAGTTTCATAGAATATATAATGTGTTTCTTACATGCGGGTACTGTTTTCTCTTCTTCTAATGTAATTCTTTCTTCATTTCCATACTTCCAAAATTTTATGCATTTTCCATGAGTTTGTGTCTTTGGTGCTTTTTTATTACACTGGTAATAGGAAGCCTTCCTTCTTTGCTGTTGTCACCTTGCCTCCTGTTTTTATGGTTCAAGGTCGTGGTATCTACTTTCGACTTGGAGGGTATTGATACACATTAGTCGTGGCGCGTTACCGGTTTATACGCACAAAATGCTAAATAGAAAGCCTAAAAAATTTAAAAAAATAATGAAAAAATTTAATAAAACAAACAATAATATTCATGCATCATATGCCCAAAATACATCATCTAACACATTAAACATAGAGAAAAGAAAAGATAAGGGCCCTATCGAATATCGTTTAGCATTAAATGTGTTACTAAATTTATTTTTATTTTGAGTTAAAAAAACATAGTATTTTAATATTTTTTGAATTATAAATAACAAAAATTATCTCATGCATTTCAAGATTCATCTATGAATCTAAACTTATCTCATGTGTTTCAAGATTTTCAAGATTTAGTTGCAAAGATACAAAAAAATTAAAAATATAATAGACAATAATATAAGGTGGAATAATAGCATAACAATAATAGATAAAAAGTCTTTTTAGTCTAGGATTCTAGAATACTCCTTTTAGACTAAGACCTATACACATGATAAGACTACACATCCTAGGAGGGAAGAGAGAGAGAGAGGATATGAGAGATGACGGATGAGAGAGTTGCGAGAGAACCTAGGAGGCGAGAAAGACAAGTTGATTGAAGAACTCTACTAGTCGGATTGCTTCGCCAAGAAGAAGGAAAAGAAAGTAGACTTTCTTCGTCATAGTTTCCAAGTTTGTGTAGAACTCCATTCAATTTCTTCTGTCTTTGTATAATTGCAAAAAAGGGTGTGATTTAGTGTTACATAATTTCTTCTTCCCTTGGGTCTCTTCTTTTCCCCCCCTTTCTTTCTCTTGCTTTTTGTTGGTTGATGTTTTCTGAGATCTTACAAATGAATCTCTATCGGTTAGATTCGGTGATGACGAAGAAGTGGGCTTGAGAAAGGTACAAGTTGTGAAGCATGTGGAGTTGGGACTTTCATTCTTGTCGTATCAGTTTGAGATAGTCAATTGTATCCCCCTCGACGCAAGGCCATCAAAAAGAATGAAGACGAGCTCACCCAGGCTGAATTGGCCCGAGTTGTAACCGGGTGAATTCCAATTTTACATAGTCTTCTGATATTTATATATCGTGTATTGGTATTGGATCAGAGGAGGCCGAGTCGTATCAAACTCAGCCACCTTGAACCTTGCCTGTTGTGCCTTTTCTTTTTCAAGTCCTAGGATATTCATTTGATTCTTTGCGTCTCAGAAATAAAAATGTGTGAACAATTGACTTGGTGGTTTCGTCCCTGTGAACCATATTTATTCACTATGTGTGATTAGCATGAGTGTCCTTATGGCAATGGTGAAATCCTAACGCAGAGGTAGTAATTAACTTGTCAAGTTAAAAGATGGAATAGAGAAGTGGGAAGGAAATTAGCTGTGGTTGCTGTCTTGCAATAGTAAGTCAGGTTGTGGGGGCCAATGACACATAATTGCATCTAAAAGTTTGTATATTTGGAAGAAAGTTATATTTATTAGTAGAGCTTAGGCCTTGCTTAGTTTTTGTTTGGGGGTCGTGGGGTTGTAGGTGGATCCATATGGCAATGTGTTAGTATAGTGGAACTTGGTACTTGTTGGAGCAGCAAGTCAGATTGTGGAGTCCAATTTCTCATAATTGTAGCTATAACTTTCAATATATGGAAGAAATTATATCCAGGGATTGGTGGTGGTGTATTTTTGGGGCAATGTGTTAGTATATTGAAACTTTAATCTATCAAATATCTATGTACATGGGTTGCATCAAAGATACTGGGATCATAAGTGCCTTAGGAGTCCCATAATCTAGGGTTGCATGATTGCAAATGGGGTGGGTGCGCGGCTTAAATCATCCAAATTCCTGACCCCAAATTATAAATCTCGACTCAATCCACGATCTAAGTAACCTCAAATTGTAGCCTTAACCTATATTGTATCCCTAACTTGTACTTTATTTCTTCAATTTGGTGATTGACAAACTTGTATATTGATTTATTGTGATTTGAATTTTTTTTGTAATACAAATATGCATTCTTTTATTCTTATTATTCACATTCATTATTTGGTATGTCGTTATGGATTACGGTTGGGGCTTCGTAATTCTCTCAAAAATAATATATGTAATTTCAAATGGAAGCGAAAGTAATCCAAATAAGAGTTGCTTATCCATACCACATACCAAATCGATCCCGGATCTAGGTAACATTGGGTTGCACCCTTCGACACCTTTTGGTGAACAAGTGATATGGGGAATGATTGCCTTCTTTCTTTCAAAATTTGTTTTGGTATAAGAATTGATAAGCAACATTTTCAGAAAAGAGAACTGAAAGGGAAGGATGAGAGGTCCTTAAAGAAAAGCCAATCATGATGAAACTGAATACGGCTTCAACTGACTGTGAGCTGAAAAGGAACCATNATTGCCTTCTTTCTTTCAAAATTTGTTTTGGTATAAGAATTGATAAGCAACATTTTAAGAAAAGAGAACTGAAAGGGAAGGATGAGAGGTCCTTAAAGAAAAGCCAATCATGATGAAACTGAATACGGCTTCAACTGACTGTGAGCTGAAAAGGAACCATATGGTTCCTTTTCAAGCTCATGCGACCATCACTGTTTTGGGAGCCTGGTTTCATGCCATAACTGCATTAAGTAATGGTTAACCCTTGAAACTTGTAAATATGGCAGTAACTAGAAAATTTTCTCACTGTTACTCGTTAAGCTTACATACGCCATTGGTATTTTGAGGAATGTAAGTCCTTGCCTAAGGGCGTACACAAGGCATGAAGCTCCCGCCATTGCGAGATCGGGGGAGGGTTAGATGTACCTCTTACCCTTGTAACCAGAGAGGTTGTTTCTGCAACTCAAACCCGTGACCGTGACATCCAGGTGGCAATGGAGCAACCTTACTAGTGTAAGTCCCTGCCTAACACGTTATTAACCTTTGGAGAAGGGCATTGAAGGCTAATTTTTGGAGGACATCAGGTCTTTGTTACATTGTTTATCCATCAATAGACTGCAGCAGATGGATTGATATATGAGGAGAGATGGTAATTCCTATGATATTGGGGTTTTGATTATTATGGGTCAATTTAGAGTTCTCCCTACATATGAGAGGTTTCAATGTGGGAGAGCATATAGTTATATTTTTCATTTTTCCTTCGTGTCTTTCTGCATGCAAGTTTTCCTTTACTACCTTGCTTTTCTTGATTTTTTTCAATGATCTATTGTTCCTTGATCAGAGACCCACCCTCTGAAACTTTTTTTTTGGTGGTTGTACCTGATTGACCTACTTTATTGGCCATAGCTGTTTACTGAATCAATATGATCCGTATGATGATTATTTCTGTTAACTGGCAAATGTTTGGCTTCATGTAAGTGTCTGTTTATACTCAGATATTGAGCTGTAACTGTTGAGTTGAATATGAGTATCAACCATTAGTTGACATACCTACACAATTGTATGTTTTGGTTGATGAAGTTTAACCTATTTTGCTCCAAAATGGGCTCTGAGGTTATGCTTCCTGTCACAAGGAGCATACAGATTTATCTGCAAAAGGAAATTATTTATGTATAACTCTTCGCTTGTCATCTTCTCCGACACGAGAAGGTTGTTTCTTGGCGTTTTAGTTGTAAATAATGAATAGAATACTAAAAATGATTCTACTGTTGCCCAATTGAACATGACTGTACAGTGGCCAGGCATTACCACTCTTTTGTAAGTGCCTCTTTTCTTTCCTTTACATGGGATTTTGTTTGTCACTTTCCTGAGTTATTCTTTTCCAATGTTTTGAAGCAGGTTTAAGAGCTCAGATATCCGCCCCTCCTGGATTTTCGGTACCCAGCCGAGCACCACCTCCGGGGTTTACTTCTCATGAGAGAATGGAACATACTTTTGGCACATTGTCTGGTTGGTTATTTTGTTTGCTTTTTCAAATTTTTTGACCAATTTTTATTTTTGCAAAGGCTTGTTAAATCGACGGGCCTTTGATCTAATGGTATTCCTTACCTTGTCTTCGTGAGGTAAGGGTTCAAGTTTCCCTCCCCCTCCCCAAAAGGAAAAAATAAAAAGGGCTTGTTTAAATTTAAATATTCCTTTTTGTCATCTATGTTGCAGGGAATGATATGCTAAACACTTCTTCCTTGTTAAGAAACCCATATCAGTTTCTGCCAGAAGGGATGATTGGTAGCCCTGGGGAGATTGAGTTTATGGATCCTGCAATTTTGGCAGTGGGTAAGGGGAGACTTCCAGGTGGCTGCAATAGCCCAGGCTTAGACATGAGATCAAATTTCTCTCCACAGTCGAGTACATTGGAAAATGACGCAAGATTTCACCTGTTGATGCAAAGATCACTTTCTCCTCATCAGAACCAGAGATTTGCAGGAATGGGGGATAGTTTTTCTTCCCCTAGCAATGCTTATGGGATTCCTTCAAGGATTATGGAGCAAACATCGACCAATAATCTATCCTCATTTCCGCAATTCAGTCTTCCGCAGTCCAGAAATGCCGTCATATCAAATGGCCACTGGGACGATTGGAGTGAAGTTCAGGGTGGAAATGAGCTAATCAGAACTGAGAGAATGGGATATAACTTTACTGGTTATGAGGATTCAAAGTTCCGGATGCCCAGCTCAGGCAGTTTGTATCATAGAACATTTGGGATCTGATTTGTCAAAGAGACTTATTTGGCTTTGTTGGTTATGGCATAAATGGTGGTATCGATTGATCATGTGTGACTTGACAGTCTTGCCTAGAAGGATGTGGCTGATTTGTGATTGGTCTGACTTGGCAGATTACAGATTGGCGAAGGATCTCAGAAACCGGATTTTTGGAAACCAACGGGTAAGGACGAACCTTATCCCTTGTATATGAGAATAAATTACTTGTGGTAAATATCATGGTTGGACAATTGATTCAATCTGTTCTATTTAAAATTTATAGTTGGGAAAGGTAGGTGAGGTTGACATGGGATATATTATTCATTTCACCGTATGCTTTGAACATTGATTCTTTATGATAATGGTGAGTATTCTATTTTGGCGGTAATAACAAAGGTATATACGTGGTTTAGATTTTACCAATGGTTAAAGGTGGGGCACCCATGTAATTTGAACTTCATAATTCCACCTCAGCTACCGTGTAAACTGTGTTCGCACATTTACCAAATGACTGCACTGAGTATTGTTGGCCATGATATTTAGCACATTTCATCCACTGTTGGCATAGAAGGGTGGAAGGGCGTTTTAGCCTTTGTTTTTTTAAATGCCTTTTATATGACTCTATATCTTTATGTATGATATGGCCGTGTTCTCATCTTTATNCCATGATATTTAGCACATTTCATCCACTGTTGGCATAGAAGGGTGGAAGGGCGTTTCAGCCTTTGTTTTTTTAAATGCCTTTTTATATGACTCTATATCTTTATGTATGATATGGCCGTGTTCTCATCTTTATTGCAATTTGCAGCTGAAGAAAGCTGAGATTGATGCCCGATGGTTGAAGAAAGGATGCTGCATAAGATCGATCACAGGTGGTCTCTGGATGTTGACTGTTCTGCTCCCTGCACAGAAGAGAATCGAGATAATCTCACAGTCAAAAAGTATCAAATTGAATTGATTTTTTTCCTGTCGCTGATATTTCTTAATGCCTCAGCTTTNTGGTTGAAGAAAGGATGCTGCATAAGATCGATCACAGGTGGTCTCTGGATGTTGACTGTTCTGCTCCCTGCACAGAAGAGAATCGAGATAATCTCACGGTCAAAAAGTATCAAATTGAATTGATTTTTTTCCTGTCGCTGATATTTCTTAAACTCAAGTAGGTNTCTGCTCCCTGCACAGAAGAGAATCGAGATAATCTCACAGTCAAAAAGTATCAAATTGAATTGATTTTTTTCCTGTCGCTGATATTTCTTAATGCCTCAGCTTTTTAGGCGAAAATCAGCTTGTTTTTAAGTCACATGCTTTAGTTTGTTGAATTGTTTTCAAGTAGTTGAAACTGAAAGGACTTTAGAGCAGAGTTGAAGCATCTCGGTTCCTAGCATTGATTTTTTTTTTTATGTATTGTTGAGAAGACACGACAAATGGGAACGAGTAGTATTATTAGTTGCATGAATGTGCTTGTTGAATGACATATTTCAGTTGAGAGAAATGATAAGGCTGCTCATTATGCTGATTTAGAAGGGAACGTAGTACTTCACTTTCCATTACCACTAGAAATGAGGTATTGTTCCATAGCGTAATTGGTATTTTTTTACGTCAATCATAGGATGTTGTGAATGCTATGATCACTTGTACTCTCTTATGACCTTTGCTCTGATTTTGCAGCTTGGCCATGGAAGCCTGCAACTTATTAAAGATGCTTAGGAGGTAAAGTCTGCTCTTTGCCAAATCTGTCCAAAGTCGCATGATGTCGAAAACCCAAATCATGCTTTGGAAGCGTTCCAGGTAAATTTCNATTGTTTTTATAGTTCATTATAATTCCATAAAAACACGAAGGTATCTCCTACAATTATACAATACTAGGGGTGCCGTGATGTAATTTTTTTCTATAAAAAACCGTAGCAGTATACGGAGAATTAGGCCAGTGGATAGATTGTTTTTGTATCATTACTTATGCTGTTGGGTACTTTTTGATCTCCTTAAAAGAGATCACTTTCTCCCTCTTGCCACAAAAGCTGAGGCATTGGTTGGTTTAGGTCACTGCTTACTGGTCTGATCTCACCCCATATATGCCTAATGATATTTAAAGTTAATTTTTCTGTATGTTATTGAAAAAGTTTTTTTAATGTAAGCTATTTATAGTTATTTATTGTAAAAATAACAGAATAAGATGAAATGATAAAGTACAAAAAAATCTTTGTAAGTGACGGGATTCGAAGTGCTGCTCATATCAAGCTGGGACAGTCCAAGACTAAGGTTTTTTATTTTTAATATTAATAATTTTTATTTAAAATATATTCTTCTTGTTTTTTGAGATTAAAAGTACTATTAGGTTTTGTGTTTAATAAGTGTCGTTACTATATATTTTTTTATATTGATAGTATTAATAATGTCCTATTCTTTTTTGTGATAGTTGATCTTAGGAAAAATTTTATCAATTTTAATTTTTAAAAAATTCTTTTAATTTTAAACAATCATGACCTACTAATTTTAATTTTTTAAGTTTAGTAAAAGATAAAAAAAAAATTGGTATAGTTTTTGTAATACATATAAAAAATGATTCGTAGCATGAGATTTTTAAGGTTTAGATTTGTGGGAGAGAGAGAGAGAGAGAGAGAGAGAGATAAACGGTTAAAAATAAGTGTATATTGGTTGAATAGTCAGATTTTTTTTAATCCTTAGCATTTTTTTCCCTAAAAAATTTGTTTTGGGGTATTTGTAATATTATAGGTTGGGTTTATGAGTCTAAATTATTTAAATTTAGTTTTAATTGGGTTTAAATTTTAAAAAATTTTGTAGGTCGATATACAATATAAAACTTATTTGATTAAAAGTCTCTGGAAAACTATTTGTAGATATGTCATTTCTATTTGTAAATGCTAAATATACCATGCATAAATATTAACCGGCGCAATCTCACGAATTTGGAACACAGTTAGAAATCAAGCATCATTTTCATAAAATCCAATCACTAAAATATCGTGCAAGACACGGTGTTTGAAATTCAAACGATATTTCCCGCAAACCCATTATTCTTGGACTCTCCTCTTTTGATAACAATTGACTTTTACACCTTGTAGGAACCATTCTCCACATGAACTCCTATGTTTTTTTGACTTAATCAAGTGAACTTGTCAACTCTAGCCATTCAAAATTCTTCTAGTCATCATCTTATCAGAGGCTTTTAAACCCTCATAAATCCTATGACATCTCTCTTTTTAGATTTCCAAATTGATCAATTAGGAAGCTCCACGAACTAAGCAATGCCATAGCGATATTTTTTTGAATACGCTGACCAATCTCATAAATCTTTACCAAAGGGGTTCATTTGAGAGAACCATCAAGACAGTGTGACATTACCGCAGTACATCATAGTATAACAACTTTATTAATACTTTAATAACTGACAAAAAATGTGCAATTGTATTCGTTGATTTATACAGAATCTAAATGATATGTTTTATACAGTGTAACATCACAATGTGACATTTATAGTTCGACAAACACACATTATTTTTAAGAAATGACAGTGTTACGTCACAGTGTAACAACATAGTACAACCACTGCCGTTAAAGTGGAAAATTAGATGAAGCAATACAAATACAAATGGGAGCAGGAGTAGATTGTTTTAATGAAAGAATATATAACCCGATTTGGACATGGATTAACCGAAGTAGTTCACCCGGCGTAGAATAAAGAAAAAACTCTTGCAAAAATGAATCGTGGTGAGGGATAAGATTTTAATTTTTTGTTTCACATGATGTTGGGAAACCATAAATAGAAAAATTGATTGAAAAAAAACGAGCACTAGACATTGAAGTATAACACCAGCCATTGAAGTAGAGGGGGTGTTTATTTAATGCTGAGTGCCAGTCTAGTGAATGTTTGGCATAGTTCAGTGAATATCTGGTGAAGACCATTAAATGCTGCGAGGGCCTACATTAAATTCTCGATTCCCGAGCAAGGCAATCACTATGGACCTAGGTCCTACCTAAGTGATCGTTGATCTTCCCCAGGCCTAATAATGCATAACACAAGGGGGCAATAGCTACAGGAGATTGCCCGTAAAAGGGTAACTGTTAGTCGCTTGATGGGATCCCACAAAATGTTATGTCATCGTCTTTAAAAGTATAAATAACTTAAAGAATTAGGTCTTGGGTACGCCATCAAGACCCTTCAAGCAATGTAAACATTACCCTCCCTTTGAATGCTGACTAAGGTGTTGTAAGCTGAATATTAAAAATTGATTGTTGAATTTTTTAATTCGTAAATTATTTAGTATTAGTTAGAATTTTAGTATTGAATTGAATCAAACTATTTGATAAATATAAAGAGTTAAAGTTTAAAAATTACTATTATTTTAATTTTGTCCTTTTTAATCATTTCTTTGCAACTACCTTATTATTATCACCACTATTACAATGGTGCCGACGGGAGTGATGGCAGGTGGTGGTGGCAATGACGGCGATACAATGATGGTGGGCGATAATGGTAGTAGTAGCAATGGTAACAATGACATAATGATAATAATGGTGGCAACGACAGCGATAGTAATGATAATAGCGGCGACGACGATGACTGTGGCACAATGGTATTGATAGTGGTACAATGATAGTGATGATGGCGATGACTCAATGGTGATAGTGTTGGTGGTGGTGATAACACAATGGTGGTGGTGGTGGTGGTAGTGATGATAGTGATAACAGTGGTGATGGTGGTAACGACACAATGGTGGTGATGGTTGTGGTGGTGGTGAATAATAGGTATTAAAAATTTAAGAATGTAAAATACGTTGAGGGTATATTTGTCTATTGTGAGGAATTGATAAAATTTTTATTGACTAATATTTTTAACATTAAATGATAAGTATGTAACTTGTTACTTAAGATTTTAGTTTAGTTTTAAGAAATGCTTAAAATATTAAGTGGTTTGAATTTTAGGTTATCAAATGGACTTAATTCATTAAATGTTTAAAATATTTAATTTTAAACCTTAAATGATGTTATCAAACAACATTAAGTGATAAGTATGTGCCTAACTCCACGTATGATTTTCCCATAATATTTTTTTAACTAGCCAAATAATAAATTAAAAAAAAACAAAAATTAAAGTTGTAGACAAATATGTGGTACACCAGGCCCTCAACTCAATATCAAACTTCCCCACCAACTGGGTGTCTCATTAGGTGCCACATATTTAATGTTTATTTAAAGATGCAAAAAGATTTAAATGGACCCACTAATCAAATGTTCTGATATCGTCACTAAACCTAACCCAAAGGCCGAATCAAAACAAGAGTTGCTCATGGCCCACTTATATATGAAGTACAAAGTCATTAAAATCCGACCGAGTCATAAAAAAAAAAAATAAGAAAAGCGACATAGCATTGGCCCACCACTTGTTCCCAAATCTCCAGTGTGATTTTTGTTATTTTTTTATTGTTCAGGTTTTTGGTCAATTATTTTTTCAAGTTTAGAAATTTATTTTCCTGATTTGAACTGGGTTGGGTTAGATCATGTGCTAAAAGAACAAGAGTGATTAAGAAGTGTGAAAAAAATTAAATCTGAGAGGCGGCTCTTCAACCCCTCAATCATGAGAGAGGGGGAGAAATTATTCTGATGGGAGTGTAAAAACAGAGTCGACATCTGAAACCTTAGTAGAACAAATTAAATGAGAAACAAGTGGAATGGAGCACCAGGAAAACTGTATTTTCCTATATTTAAAAAGAATTTTTTTTTTTTTTTTAAGAAAAGACAAAGGATTGTGTTTTGACTTTAATTCTTTTAAAAAAAATTTAAAACCTTATTAAATTGGATTCTTTGTAATAGAAGTATCAATTTTAATTTGTTACTCATTAACCTGATCATAAATAAATAAGTTGGATACCTATATTAATTAATACGAGCTCTAAATGAATTGAATAATATAATTTATTTTAATTAAGTGACTTAAGATGGATTACAAATAAAAACCTATCGAGTTGAGTATTTGTGTTTATGCTATATAACACAAGTAATAAAATTAAATAAATATACTAATGTACCAAAAAATACATTTACACACATATACACTAATACACCAAAATTACACACTAATACACTCGATCTATGACTTGACCCATGGGTCAACTCGACTCATGACCATGACCCAAGTTTTAGTGTTAATGTGTGTATTTTTGATGTATCAGGCAGTATGTATTTTAATGTCCTAGTGTGCTTATTTTGGTGTACTAGTGTATCTATTAAAATTTTTAATTATTTTATGAGTTAATGAATTTAATACAATTCATTATAAACCCAATTCATCATAACTCATTTCTTACGTAAGTGAAAATTGAATTGAATTTATTTTGACCCTAAATCATTTTAACCTCATTTTAACCTAGCACATAACTAATCCAACTCACTCATTTGTCACCTTTACTTCCGAGGCATTTATATTTTCGAAAAAAGCTAGAATTCTAATTCAAAAACATTCTGCGACATTGGCCATGATATTCTACAACATCTTAAAATATTTTTGAAACACAGTTTTACATTTTTGTCCATGATTTGTTTCCATTCTTACTGAATTTGAAATGTTCGATCGTTTTGATCAAAAACTATATCATTTTGATAAAAAAAAAAAACTATATCCTTTCTAGAATGTGAATTGTGAAGCATATTCTTCATAGATATAGATTGAAATCTGTGCAGGAAAGGGGCTGATGTAGTCAAGTGAATCAAGTAAGTCAATGGATTGTGAATCCACCACTCACGAGTTTAACCTCCGGCATTCACCGATCAATAAATAAGACGACGAACCCATAAGCATTTGGAGAAAGTAGGAAGGATGCTGATCGGCAATTGCCAGTTGAGAGAGAGAGAGAGAGAGAGAGAGCGATATGACTGACATGATTTGAAGGTAGAACGATGACCTTTTGGCCCATGAGCAGTACCGTTTGTTTTGTTTCAGCGTTCATCAATTTCCAGTAAACTGGAAAATGACTTGACGATTAACGTGGCACTCTACCCTCTCCAATGAATCCTATACTTTTAAGTACTTGTTTTAACCTATCAGGCTAGAGGTGCAGGCTAGTACCCATTGGATCATGCACCAGTCTGAATCTCACTGCCTAAATCTATTTCTGCGTATTAATCCTGTCATCTTCAAATTAATGCATATATCACATAATTATAAATCAAGATTTTGGAATTTTAACTCATTTCTTCTTAAAAATCAAATCCATCACTTATAAATCCTCATGATCTAAAGTTCAACTTGATCTACAGACATAAAAAATTGAATAAAGACATCTCTATTTTTGCATTTAATCAGACCATGCCAAATAAAAAAACGAAAAATAAATTTTAGAAGGAAAAAAATACGAAAAATAAGTAAGATTAACTAATTATCAACACAAAGTTGAAAATAACATGATATACTAATTTTTTTTTCAAGTTTATAGCAGACTAATACATCATGTTTAAAATTATCACATAAATGGGACTAGCAATTCAAACTGTATTTCCAGTCAAACTTCATGCAAAGAGCAAACAGATTAGGATGGTGGTGGACCTGGTGGTGGAGGCCTCAATTGGTAGTAATATTGAGAGGTGGATGTGGCAGCCATGGCAGATGAAGAGAAGCAGAGATTGAGGGCCGTTGAGTTGGGAGGCCTTGATTGATAAATGGAAGCCGAGGGAGCAGTGGTAACCGGAGATTGGAATCCTGATGATGCTGCATTAGAGAACAGTGGCATTGGCTTAGGGTTGACCTGACCATGCATTTGCCAAGCCCAGTTTCGGGGTCCTTGGGAAGACCCAATTTCAGTTCTGTTCTCTGTTGCTCTTCCCTGCCAAACCATTTATAAGTTGGTTATGTCCTATGATGAGTACAACACGAAGGTCTTGAATATAACTAATTTGCAATTAGAACAACACAATAACTATATATTTATCCTCCTTAAATCATTGTATTCATTCAACCCCCCTTGCGACATGATAGTCAGGATGAAACTCGGTGCCTGTGCAGTTTAATAACATCTGCATTATACCAAATTACCTTGCTACAATTTCTAACAATATTTACTCCCCATATTGCATCTATGAGATCTTATGCATAATTTCAAGTTAGTTGCTAAATCATCAATGTATGACAACTGCTGCAATGAGTTTAATAACTGCTCATCCATGAATGTATAACAACTGCTGCAAAATATGTTCAATGACTAATCTATCGTATCATGACACAAGCTACGTTCTACTGCCACTATATACCCTGTTTTCAAAGTTCCACAATCACTGTGTGCTGGTCTACTCCAGTGACAATATATATCTAGGTTTCAGGAATATAGCTGCACACAGATGGTTAGTTTTGAAGCCTTATTAGTTATTGTGATTTGGGTACTACTATGAGAAAATTAGAAGATATGGTGCTCTGCTAAAAAGTTGCAGAATTCAAATTGACACATTTAAAAGAGTAAGTCCAATAAATTTACCTCGTAGTTGGGAAAGAAATTAGGATATAAACCAGTCCACACGTAACGGTCGCGCTCTGATGTCACCGGTAGACCCTTATGAGGTGGATTACCTCCTGTTGTTGTGGCACAGTTCTCTATCTGTTATTGCACGGCATACAGGAAAAAAGGATTACCGTCGCTTCACATCAGGGATGTGGATGACATATGTCAAAGCAATGAGGCATAAGAAAAAGGACTAGAACAGGCCATATGCATCATCAATAGTTGGCTAAAGGCAATCGAACTCAATTCCAAACAGGCCTTCTTTCCCAATTTACTCTCCTTCAACAGTGTTGATCCATTCACAGTGTTCATGGTAAATAACATAATAGACCAAGTGAATGTTTTTATAACTAATTATGCTGATATAGTTAGATATAAATATATTCAAGTATACCTTAGATCTCATTGCTTCGTGCACATCATAAGGAAGGAAATGGAAGCACCCCAAACTGTCATTTTCCTTTGGACCATCTTCAAAAGAAGGGTTTGAAATCCCCAAGTTCAGATCAAGATTGTGGTGGCTACCTGCATTGAAGGCATGGAGAAGCTCATGTGTCCACTCATCACAATGAGAGAATTGATTCATAGTATTTCCAACGACTATACAACATAAGCCCTCTGAATATAAAATACAAAACTAAGTACAACACACTAAACAATACCTCCATTATGTGCCTCAGAGATCATATGTCCTTCATACGCACTTGCTTCGAAGTTGGTCACTGCCTCCTTTCCATTACATTTGATGGCCGCCTTGTCATAAGCCCTAAATTTCCAGAAAAGCAAAAGGGATATATGTGTTGGATGGCCCTATTGAGGCTGAGTATTTAGGGTAATAAATTGAATATCAGGGAGAGGAGAAGGTAATTCATCATCATTAGGACCTTGCAGCTTCTACTTCATTGTCGAATAGCCCAAGATATATATACCTGCAATACAAGCATTGTAATCCCCATGATAAAAAATTGGATTCTCCCATCATTTCTTCTTTCAAACAGGCTTGAAAAATTTGTTTTTCACCCAACGAATTTAATCACATTTAAAACCAAATTTAAGTCCACCCGGATAGGCACTCAAAATTCATCATATTCAATATTTACTCCTAAGAACGAAACAATTTAAAATGTAAGATCGATGAGATAGTTCCTCACTTTTTGCCCAGGAACTGTCCCATTCGAGCTTCCCATCTGCCGCATTTGTGCAGTGTCACTCCTCTGTACTTTGAGCTTCCTCTCGAGAAACCATTGCTCTGTCGACGAAGTATGTGGATAAATTCTTCCTTAGTCATATTTGCCATCTGCAATTGCTCAGAATCAGATAAGATCCCCTAATGGAAGTCACAAGTAGAAACAAAAATGGTACAGTTATTGATAACTTCAGCATCTACATTAACATTGTGCTTCAGCAAATAAGGTCTAAATAGAATTTTCCTTTGCATAAAGCAACCTGTTTCATATCGTCCTCATAATCACTGAGATTGAAATTGATATCAGCATCCACACCCCGGAACTTTAGTGCAGCTCGATCATAGGCTCTGATACCAAATTGAAAAAACCCACTTGAATGAGTAAGAATCACAACAGCTTAAAACTTGAGCTAAAACGCGAGACCAATAAGTTTCCATCTCTGATTAAACTATTACCTGGCTGCAGTATGAGCGGTGTCAAATCCACCTACCACAACCCAACATCAACACTCATCAGTAAATAGTAATACAAAAAATAGCTAAATACTGGAACGTTATTGCTAAAAATCTAAGTAGAGGAAAAAGCAATCAACACACATAGCTATGCCACTATTTCCTTACCCAAATACACTTGTTTCCCACAGTCCCTGCACGAAAAAAAAACTACAGGAATAAATGACTGAATAATCTAAGTTAAGTCAATATACGTTATAATTCAATCCAATGATCAACACATAAAATTTATTTAATTCATAGACTAACCAGATATGTGATTCCCATCTACCAGTTCTTCTATAGAACGTGACCCCTCTATACTGTGAGCTCCGCGACCTCGGTCCCCTCCTACTCTTCTTCACCTGTTTTTGCGGCTGCTGATGTTGTTGCTGTTGTGCTATTCTTATCTCATGTCCTATAGAACCATCCTGACTGAACACGAGATCATTCCAGGTTGGACGTACTGAACTCTGCCCCTGACTTAACCGGCCACCTGTATCTCCACTCACCGGAAACAGCTGTCGAGTCACAAACTCGGGCGTCATCCTATGATTTTCGCTACCTTCATCATCGTTGTTGTTGATGGAGTTATCTACGACCTTCAGGATATCGAAATTTAAGGCGAAGGTGTCACCGGCACGTGTAGAGCACGAGTCGTCATCTCCGGCATTGCTCGAACCTTCGGCATTCGCGATTGACGAATTCGAAGTGCCCGATTCGTCCATTTGACCTCCAATATAGCCTTCTGGATACTCCTCTCCGATTTCATCATATACTACACTGAGATTGAGGTCCAGCATAACTCTATATTATATCTGACTATGTCAATTGAGTTATTTCAAGGATTGAGCTACAATTAATTCGCATCCAACATCTGTGAATCGATCAACGAGTTGATCTAGACGAATCAAACGATTTAGTACAACCGAGCGGATCAGAAAATCCAGAGAATAGCACACGATCGAGCTCTTAAAAAATCACTAATCGGATTCGGAGCTAAAATTTTCAATGAAGAGAGACAGGGCTTGAAAACTGAAGAATCAATGACCGAGAGAAGCAGCAAATATACCTAGAAAGAGAACTACAACTTGTACAAAACCTCCCTCTCTCTCTCTATATATATATAATATATATATATGAAATTACCTGCGATTTTGGCTGAAACCGGAGAGAATGGAGAGAGATATATACTCCGGCGAGTTCCAGAGAGAGAAAGAGAAAACGGAAGGGTCTCGTTTATTACATTTTCAGAGATGGTTCCGAGTTCTAGGGAGAGAAAGCACACAAAAGAGACAGTTTTAGAGAGAGAAAGTGCATAGTTTTAATGGGGAAAAGAAGGGGAGATGGGACGTGTGAAGGGACCATTTCTGCTCCCATTTTAAGAGCCCACATTTTTTTTTTGGTCTGTGATCTTGGAAACCGGAAAGAACCGGTTCCCGTCCGTTTCTTCGGTAAGAATTTTTTTTTAACCATATTTTCTTCAATAAGATAATGTTAAAAAATTTAAGAAAAAAATAAATTTAAAATTTTATGTGTTTGATTAGCATAAAATAAAAAATAATTTTTTTATGCTTAAATATTCTTACAATTAACTAATTTTTTTTCTTATTAAAAACACAAAGAAAAACAAAAAAATTGTTATCAATAACTTAACTTCCCATTTTACCCTTATTTTTCTTTAAGTATTTAATTAATTATTAATTTTGAACAAATTTGATATAAATTAAGCTAACTATATAATATAGTCTAGAGATCTGGGTTCGAGTTGATCTTTGTCCTAAAACTAGGTTAGGAGCAAATTTTTTTAAAAGAATTTAATTTTTAATTGTATTACATATTTTTTATTCTTTACACTGAGTTAACATAACTAAAAATAATTTAGACAATTATAAAAAAAAATTAATAAATTTCTTTCCTTTCAAACAATAGAATGATTTTTTTTTTTTTTAAATTTCTTAAATTTTTTTCATACAATCCAAATACATATATAAAAAGATCAAGAATCAATAATTAAAAAAAAAAAATTGGATTTAACCTTAAGGTATTTTCAAATTGTTCCCAAATTAGTGTCAATTCTATAAGTTTTTCTCTAAAAAAAAAATAACTTCTAATCGATCCCATAGAATTGTAATTTGATCTGTTTTACGTCAAAACTTTAATTTTTTATTTTTTTTCACAATGAAGAATCTCTTCAATGCATGATCATATTAGACTCATCCCTACCGATTAAAACTTCAAGGATTAAATTTAAGACGTTCAAATTTTAGGGTTTGCAACAAATCCAACCCCATATTTCTAGGTCACCCGTAATTTACCTTACAAAATCTCAACTTGGAGAATAACACCGAAAATTAAATCTAAAAAAAATCCTAATTTTTTATTTTTTTCAAAATATTTGATGTTGAATTCAAGGCAAAGAATATAATTGAAGCTGCCAAAAGAATATGATCTCTTCACTAACTACCATTTAGGAAAAAGTTGACTTAGTTGCCAATGCTTTAACTAGAAAACCGTAAGGTAATTTGATAGTTATGTTATATTCACAATACGTAGGCATAGGCATAATTTGGAGAAATTGAGGATGTTAAGTACAGCCATGTGGCAGTTGGCTTAACTTAGAATCCAACCTAAATTGATTGAGAGAATCATGGTCCTTAAAAAAAGGTTTAAAAGCACTCATACAAATTACAAAGACAAGAAGAAGAAAAAAATATTTTATTAGTTTTTGGTACCATGTGATCACTTTACATATAGTTATTTAGATATTGTGGACTATGTTATCTAGGTTAGGTCACTAGTTAATTTTATTAATGTTAAAATAGCTCCAAAAGGCATTAAATTGATAAAAAAATCTCCATTTCTTGGACTCTACTTTAGCAAGTTAATTTATGGAACTTATGTTCCATTTTATTTATGCTTGAAGGTATGGTGCATCGTAAGTAAAAAATGATAATTGTTTTTTTAGTCTATTATCAAATACTATCATTTTCAAACAAAAATACCAAATCTATCATATTTTTCAACTTATTTATCAATCTAGTGCAATTGTTAAAAGCGAAATTAATAATTCTACTCTCAACAAGTGGTACAACAAAAAGGGAAAAAGACATTTTTGTAAGTATCAAAAGCGTTCTTATTAAGTCCACTTTTTTGGTGAAAGCAGAATCAACAATTTCATTTTCAAAAATTGTAGTAACTTGGTAAATAAGTTGAAAAGTATGGTAGATCGATATTTTTGTTTAAAAATAACAATATTTTGGTAATAGATTCGATCTTTTTTTTTTTTGGGAGAGGGAAAATTCTATGTGAATGGTTTTGAGAGGGATGTTGGTGACTGTTGGATGAATCTATTTGAGACCGTTGAATGAGTTTATTAAAACCTGTCATGTTTTATATTACAGATTATAGAAGCAGACATAAACTCCAAGGGGTAACTCAAGTGGTAAAAAAGACGAGCTGTAAACTCAAACATTCTGAATTCAAATCTTGACAATTTCTTGAAATTAGGTCATGAGGAATTTATCACTCATGAATATCCTAATCTCAGCGTGTATAGTCTGTCTTTGACCAAGTCAGAGAGAAAATTAATTGAAATATGCATAAACTAAACCGTACACCCCTAACCGTTGAAAAAATGTCATTACTCGGTACCATTTCTTCATATCTTGTTCATATAAAGAATGTAAACTTGAGAAAAACAGCATCACAAATTTCTAGGAAAAATAATCCAATGCACCCAAAAAAAAAAAAGGGATCGAGTTCTTTTTTTTTTCTTGTTAAACAATCAAGGATATTCGGACTAATTTACACGTACCTCAACTAATGTCCTCTTCGATCCAGATAACAGCAGATCATTCACACTGAAACTAGGATATTTATGAGGAATAAATCCCTCTTAATCTGTTCTCAAGAGATTGTTAAAATTCGAATTCAGAACGTCTGAATTTACAGTTCGTCTCTATTATCAATGGAGCTACTTCGGAGTTGGATTGAGTTCATTTTGATAAGATCAAATGTGTGAAATCAAGCAATTTGTCTTGGTGCTATGCAATGGTAATTGCTGACAACAGTAATAGGTGCTACCCATCCTTCTAAGGCAGTCAGATGTTTATTGATCTTGTATTTTATGGACCATGTATTTGTATACCTTGAAGGGGAGTCTGTTTTGGTGATTTAAAAGAAGAGTGGTCCCAAAATTTAGGGGCTGGAGGTGAAACAAAGTCATCTTCTAGTTTGGTCCAGCTCTTCTCACACCACAAACTGTTTCGAACCTATCTATACCTATGACTCATTTTAACATGATGTTTTGTGTGGGTGTGAGGGTAGAAGAGAGAGAGAGAGAAGGGGGCGGGGGACATGGTTTCTGATGGGACATTTTTGAAATACTCCAAGATGAAGACACGTGTCTTTGNTGGTGTCAAAAGATCGAAGGCTGGGGGGCAGTTGATGAGACATTTCTGAAAATACTCAAAGATGAAGACACGTGTCTTCGGTGTCACTAATCCTTGTTACTGAGATCACGTACCCATCGGTTCACAAGTCCCTCTCCCCCGAGGTACTTGTCATAGGGATCAAGTGGCATCCAGTACGTTTACGTACCGACACGTATCCCTCAGTCTGATATGAGTACATCGGTCGCTATATGTACCTCCCCTCTCGGTTCTGAGATGTACCAATCCCCCCTCGGTACTGATATGTACCAACGTCCAGGATGACATTCTCTTCTCCTACAGAGCTATTGATGTACAGGTCACTAGCCTAGGCTAGGCTAGGTTAGCCATCATGACCTCGTCTTACAGAATTGGTGTCAGAAAGCTCAAGAAGGCAGGGGACACAGCCAATGAGGAATGGACACGTGGCATATTGTGTCACATCAGAGACAGAAAGACTGGATGCCCTTGCTAACATACAACTTGTGAAAACAAGCATTAATTACACCATTCCCTTGATGAGACAGCGTTTAATGCGGTAAGGCTCGGAAATGAAAGATNAAAAATCTCCATTTCTTGGACTCTACTTTAGCAAGTTAATTTATGGAACTTATGTTCCATTTTATTTATGCTTGAAGGTATGGTGCATCGTAAGTAAAAAATGATAATTGTTTTTTTAGTCTATTATCAAATACTATCATTTTCAAACAAAAATACCAAATCTATCATATTTTTCAACTTATTTATCAATCTAGTGCAATTGNACATTTATTACATCCTTGCCGAGAGGAGCTCATTGAACAGTCGGCAGGCCGATGACGCAGCCTTGGTTGCTCGGGATCCCAAACAGTTAAAAGAGGACATTCCTCGTNCAAAAAGGGAAAAAGACATTTTTGTAAGTATCAAAAGCGTTCTTATTAAGTCCACTTTTTTGGTGAAAGCAGAATCAACAATTTCATTTTCAAAAATTGTAGTAACTTGGTAAATAAGTTGAAAAGTATGGTAGATCGATATTTTTGTTTAAAAATGACAATATTTTGGTAATAGATTTGATCTTCTTTTTTTTTGGGAGAGGAAAAATTCTATGTGAATGATTTTGAGAGGGATGTTGGTGACTGTTGGATGAATCTATTTGAAACCATTGAATGAGTTTATTAAAACCTGTCATGTTTTATATTACAGATTTATAGAAGCAGACATAAACTCCAAGGGGTAACTCAAGTGGTAAAAAAGACGAGCTGTAAACTCAAACATTCTGAGTTCAAATCTTGACAATTTCTTGAAATTAGGTCATGAGGAATTTATCACTCATGAATATCCTAATCTCAACGTGTATAGTCTGTCTTTGACCAAGTCAGAGAGAAAATTAATTGAAATATGCATAAACTAAACCGTACACCCCTAACCGTTGAAAAAATGTCATTACTCGGTACCATTTCTTCATATCTTGTTCATATAAAGAATGTAAACTTGAGAAAAACAGCATCACAAATTTCTAGGAAAAATAATCCAATGCACCCAAAAAAAAAAAGGGGATCGAGTTCTTTTTTTTTTCTTGTTAAACAATCAAGGATATTCGGACTAATTTACACGTACCTCAACTAATGTCCTCTTCGATCCAGATAACAGCAGATCATTCACACTGAAACTAGGATATTTATGAGGAATAAATCCCTCTTAATCTGTTCTCAAGAGATTGTTAAAATTCGAATTCAGAACGTCTGAATTTACAGTTCGTCTCTATTATCAATGGAGCTACTTCGGAGTTGGATTGAGTTCATTTTGATAAGATCAAATGTGTGAAATCAAGCAATTTGTCTTGGTGCTATGCAATGGTAATTGCTGACAACAGTAATAGGTGCTACCCATCCTTCTAAGGCAGTCAGATGTTTATTGAC